ATGTTGTTACTAGAGGCCCGGTGCATGAAAATTCATGCACTGGGGGGCGGGGGAGGGGGGTCCCTGCCTGCGCCCTCTCACAGTCCAGGAGCCCTCAGGGGATATCTGACTGATGGCTTAGGCCCGCTCCCCATGGACATCCCTGTGGGAGCGCACTGACCACCAGGGGACAGCTTTGGCCCCGCCTCCCATTGCTCTGCTGCCACCAGTTGCCGCCACCCCCCAATCACCGTCCCCTCCCTCTGCTGGCCGGCACCCTCCTTGGCTGGCCTGGTGCCGCCCACTCGCTGAGGTCAAGGACACGTACCTTGGTTGCAGGGTCCTTCCCAGCCTGGGCCCTGCTCGGGTGTGTGCAGGAGGCAACCATTCAATGTGTTGACCATTCAATGTGTTACTCTCATACTGATGTTTCTCTGTCTTTCTCTCTTCCACTCTCCCTAAAAAACTAATGGAAAAATATCCTCAGGTGAGGATTAACAACAAAACAAAAAAGAAAGAAAGAAAAAAATCTTTAACTAAAAGCAGTTATAGTGGATAGTCACGTCCTAGGCTGGTATCTTCCCTGACAAAGGTCAATCTTTACCTTAACTAAGCCTGTTGCTGTCTTTTGCATCTATGATAACATATCATTGGCATGTTAGGGTAATTTGTAATTTCCCTTTTTCTGGACCCCTCAGGGCACAACCAATGGGTCAGGGTGCCAGGACAGGAGACCACAAATTCCTTCATTGTTATTGTTGTTTTCTTGTTAATTGTTGACTGTTAACTATCCTGTACCCATCTATGTAAAAGAAGTGTCGCTATCAGTTTACTTTTTATCCAATCCCAGAGGTTTGCCCGCTTTGCTTCCTCCCACCGCCCTAACCTATCACCGTGGATTTCATGTAACCCTCTTAAGTATTTCCCTTTGATTATACTGAATAAAACAAGGCGAAAACCATCATTCTCCAGAGCATTATCCCAATATGTTGAGATTCTGCTTCCTGGCAATTGTCAACAGTTTGGCTCAAATAAATTCACAAAAATTCTTTACGGGTTTGAAAGTTTTTTTTATGTTAACATTACTTGGCGTAGTTGGCAGGATTCCAGAGTCTCACCCAGGACCATCCCGCAGACCTGGACCTGGGTGCTAGTATCCAGCAGGGGGCCCATTGAGCCTGCCAATTCCCCACCCCCTCCCCCAATTGGGTGAACTTGGGTGAGTTGTCTTTTGGACCCAGGACCTTCCCTTGCCTTGGTAGACGGTCTGACTTTATTTGAGCTGTATTTTTAAATCCTTGAGGTGGAACTAAGGTTAAGGGTTGACTGAACTCAGGCTAAGGTGAGCCTGGAGGAAAAAAATGGGTGGCTGGTTTTGATTTTGGCTTTTCAATTGGAATTGCTTTCTGAGTCTGAGCAAAAAACAACCTTTG